AAAAAAACTTCTTAGACTCTCTTCTTGCAACTAATAATCATATTACATTATAATAACATAATTATATTGCTTATTAATATCAGATTATATAATTTTTATTTAAACATGTATTTATAAATTTTTTAAATACTTTGCATTTACTTTGTGTTTTACAATTTTTTAATCCTAGTACAATACTTGAAGTCAATTAAAATTCGTGACATGATATTGTTTATAAAATATCCATACGACTCAAATTTTGTAATTATCTCTAGAAATTTATAAATCGATTACACAAGCCGCATATCAGTTTGCAACGCGATTACATTGTGACCGTTACAACGGCAGGAATCGTTTACCTATTCGATAATTGCTGTCAAGAAGCATATTGCGAATTGACCGACGACTTGCTGTTTAATGGCAGTGATATAATCGCTTATGCCTCGTGCGAACGACCTTGACGAATAAACGATCGCTTTTCCTATTTTTAGAATTGCTCGTTATTTTCTTTTCTCATCTTATTTTTATGCGATTATCTACAATACGTTTGAAATTTCTCTCTTGGCCTTAATAGGATGCTCATCTAATTCTTTCTTTTACTTTTTCTCTGGTGCAACGGTATCGCTCTTAAGATTTTCACGGGTGGGAAAAACGCATCCTACGAGAAAGCATGAGCGGCTCGTAATCGTTGATGGTATATGGTTGGTGTCAGTAATCATGTCACTTCATCGATCAATCATTGAGTATTCTATAGCTATAATCTAATAGCTATTTTCTAGCCAATTTAACATCGATTTTTCTTTTATAAAGATATTGCGAAAAATTATCATTTATTTAAATTTTCCAATGATTTATGCTGTAAAGCGAATATAAAAAATATTTGTATATTCCATATACATATTTGATAATATTATTTTATACAAAAGGAGAAAATGTTGCTGTTAAGCTTAATATTCTTAGTAATATATAATAAGCTTAGTATTCAGTTCTGAACACAATGTAGAAAGGAAATGTAAAAATTTGCAAAAGCTTGAATCGTATCATAGGTTACAATTAAGATTAAATTGAAGTGCAGCATACCTAGTGATGATAGAAATTTTTCTACTTTCTCTCTAAAACTAATTTGCACCGCAGAAGCATTTGCCGTTATGAACCGTTTTGGCGGAATTTACTGTAAAAACATTGATAAAATAAATTTTATACTTTGCATTGTTCCGTATCAGTTATTTCGTATCGTAAGTTTCTGATTCATTTTCAGATAATAAGAATTTAAAATATTTTTTGCACTGTTTTGAATAATTTAACAGATATAGCAATTTCGGACTGTGTTTACTAGTTGAATCAGTGAATCAATAAATCACACACATGACATTTAGATAAATTGAAAAAAAGATTTTGTTATATATTTACGGACTATTTTTAAATAAAATTTTTTTGTAAGAGACTGGTTTGTATACTTTTTATTTAGTTGCATTTTTATTTAGTTTACTTACTTGTTTATAAAAAAAACATCGGATGTTTGTCACGCACACGTGGTAAAGAAAATTATATGCTGCGATAATTTATTGTAATTTATCTAAAAGAAAATAAAACTGTCGATTGCGATTATATTGCTTTGTATTCATGTGCGAGTTTCCATTAGTATAACATAACTACATGCTCACACTCGGAACTATAATTATCTCTTTCTTCCAGATACTCTCTTCCAGATATACTCTGATTGATTAAAGGAAAGAAACACAACGCAAATTTTCAGATAAATTTCCGGGAGTTACATTTGTTTCTCATTTTAATGTATTGTATAACAAATGTTTTCTATTATATGACTACTTCGATTTTCACCCAATTATTATGATTGTATCAATCATTAGTGCAATCATAATTTATATTCGATATGTTGAGGAAAAATAAAATTTAATTATATTTTTAATATTTATAAATCTGTAAATTGCGTTTTGAGTGTTTTTAAAAAATTATAACTATTTTTTTCAATGCGTTATATTATGATCTATATATTAAACATGACTTTTCATATATCTTTGGTTCGTTAAAGCAAAGTGATAAATGTCAAGAACAATGGAAATTAAGAATTTTACCGAATCATGATTGATGCATTCTTTATAAAAAGGTTTAGATTTTCATATAAGAGGTTAAAAAACACAAGAGAATGTGCTTATTTATAGCATTTAAAAATTGCTTTATAAGCAAAAATTGCTAATGCTTATAAGCAGAAGATTGTGTAATGTTATGTTGTTTTAAATTTTATCCACTCAAAAAAAGAATATCATTAGAATAAAATTACAATTACAACATAGTATTATATATATATATTACAGATAATTAAAAAAAAACTTTTTATAAAAACTAGCCGTAATTTTGGAACTAACTTATTAAAGAAATTAAAATGCTGGTTTAGTAATGATTTAAATTATAATTATCTTTTTCGATGGGTTATATATATATTGATCTATATATTAAACATGACTTTTCGTATATCTTTGTTTGGTTCGTTAAAGCAAAGTGCTAAATGTCAAGAACAATGGAATGTAAGAATTTTACCGAATCATGATTGATGCATTCTTCACAAAAAGGTTTAGATTTCCATATAAGAGGTTAAAAACACAAGAGAATGTTCATTTATAACATACAAAAATTTGCTTTATAAGCAAAAATTGCTAATGTTTGTAAGTAGAAGATTGTGTAATGTTATGTTCCAAATTACAAATTTGAATTATAAATTTACGTTATTAATTCAGTAAATTAACTGTTTTAGTAGTTTTAGTAGTTGCGTAGTCACTAAAATTATACTCCTGTTTTCAATATCAAAAAATAGATTTTTCAGATTTCTGTAAGAATTCAGGAAAAAAGGAAATTAGTTTAGATTAGCGTAGAGAAATTTGTGATGCAAATTTACTTTCTTTATTAATCCATTTTTAATTTGCTGTTAATAAGCTTGTAAATAAATTATGAAGTGGAGAAAGCTAGTAATAGACTAATTTTTCTAAAATATGCTTCAATCATAATCTCGTGTCACAAATTTTTTGGCTATACAAAGGTCTGTTTCTCACTAAAAGTGGATCATTATTAGTGCTCGGGAATCAGCAATCAGCAAATTGTATCGATATCGATTTACCGAATACGAAGCAAATTTGGCACATTCTTTTCTGTGAAAGGACACCGCGCAAGCGCGTTAAGGGTGCGTGTGACGGCGATGCAAATTACATTGAACAGCTTTCTTGGGTGATGTAACTGCGGCGGCAGCTGATTCGCAGAAGAGAGCAGTGAGATGGAGCGGGGTGGTTGGACCGGTGAAAGACAGCAAGGCCTCCCTGGTCATTCGGGGGCACCCCACCACCAATACATTCGCACTTGCGACAGCAGTCTAATATCTCAATACCCCACTTCTTGCACCTGTTTAACTTCGAAGGTGGAAAGCACCGCGGGCGTACTCCACAAACGATTGCAATCGGTCGCCCAGTCCTTCGAGAACACTGGATCGTGCGAGACCAATTGGCATACCGGGAGTTGTCTTAAGAAATTCGGCGATTGTGCCGCTCTCGAAATCGAACCGATCATCTATCAGTCAGTGCAAAGATCGATGACGTTCCATTCTTCCTGAAAATTAACAGGAGCGCACGTTTTTATCGCACGGCCGTGAAATTGGTACTCGAAGATCGCTGCGTCGCAACTTCGTCCTTTCTTTGTGCGCCGCAAACTTGCGAGGATCGAAAATATAGGATCACGCGAGTTCGCTCGGATGCGCCGCGCGGACGATCCTAGGATGAACTAGTGAATCACATTGCCACGTGATACGTGTTACGCATTAAATTCAAAAGGTAAGCAGCGATATGCAAATCCTTTGCTCTCAGAGATAATTATACTACTTTGCTGCAAAGTGACGCTTAATAGGATGGTCGACTGGCTCGAGCTATTTTCGCTCACGCTACCACTACGTTGCGTTAGCATTTCCTCAAGGAAAGTATCAAGTTTTATTCCTTCCTTTTCTCGTGTCGGAACGAGTGATTCTTGATTTGTCTGTGGAATGCAATTTCACGAGCGTATTATTTGCGAACTATTAAGAAGGGAAATGAAAATAGTTCTCCCGATTTTGTTTGGTACACATTTAACGAGCTTCGCGATTATAACGATGATTTCACTTCTTTTATACTTGTGCGCGCTACGATCACGATGCGCAAGGATGTAGGCATTGACATTCGCAAGAGAAGTTTTGCACATGCAATATTTGTATGTTTCGTAAAACGTTTCTCGCTGATATGAAAAATGTTCGTTTCGCAAGACTTGACATTTTTTTAAGATAATAAAAAGTATAATTGTTTTATGAAAGTAATTTCTGAATTAAAAAAGTGGTACTTAATATCTCGGAATTAAATAAGAATATGAGCAAAGTAAAAATTAATTAAAATTGAAGAAAGCAATGCTGTTGAAATAACAGGAAATTTCTTGTAAAATTTATTTCGCAATTTTACATGTTATTTTCTTGCGCGTTTGCTATCAATTTTTTAATTTCCATTTTAACCTTGCTAAATCTGATTGAAATAGTATCATATTTGTTTAAAAAAATTTTGCACGACGGAGTAAGCATACTTCTTTCCAGTGCAGTCGGTAGTGAAAGTATCAAAAAAGGCACAAAATGTCTCGCATTACGCCAGTGCGCAACTCCGACCACATTCTCGTGAACTATCTTTTCTAATAGTGACAAGAAAAGTTGGAAAGAGAAGAATAAGGCTGTGGACACACAGAGTTGCTAAACTTTTTCTCGAATTCCATCGGTTCTTTCATCGATTTTGAAACTTGTTGCTGATTTATTGCACGGATTACGTGCTCGTCGAAAGCGCGATTAGACGCAAGCATAACTTATGGAAGTAATATGCATGGATCATTCATGTGATGGTATATAACGATGCTGTTTTTTTGCAAAATTACAACTTGTTTCTGCTAGCGAGTGGGCTTTCGTTTTATTCGATTTAGTAAATTATATCTTACGTTGCAGTCTTATTTTTGCAACTAACGAATGTTTAAGGTTTCTCTTACTGATTTCTAATTTCCTGAAAACTTGAAAAAAAAATCAAGAGAGATAAAATAATTTTATATATTAAAAGCCTATAAAATTCTATCAATTATTCTTTTAATTACCGCGTAATATAATTTGTCTTTGTTGAATAATTAACATAAAATAAGATAGAAAAGAAGTTGCTTTTGTTATTATTCGTTCTACCGTTACGAACTTCATGGTTGAAACAGATTTCATTAGAAAGAATTTAATGCTTCAATTTGGCTGTATTTTCACATTTTACGCTTGCTTGTATTGATACTAATTATTACACTGCATGGAACGTAGAGAGTTGGGTACGAGTTGGGTGGCTGTACGGCTTTTACTTTCATCGAGCGAAGAATATTTGCGCGCCGAAGTAATAAGACGCTCTCGTGGCTGCAAACGGATAAATGGCAAACATTTCTATTCTTTTGAAATCAAAAATCAATTTGCTTTTTACTTATACGATTGTGTGAATTTGAGAGAGTAAATTTTTTTCGCGCTTTATTTAACACTAGATCACTTGGATTGTTTAACACTAGAAAACACGGCAAAAATGTTAAAAAATCTGTTCAGTAAATGAATCATTATGTATTATAACAATTAAATAAAATTGTAGGACTTGGTAAAAGTAACAATATTTTCAAAGGACAATATTTTCATCAACGATATTTTACAGCTACTGATAACAGTGAAAGTGCTTGCTGGTGAATAAGTTTTTTTACTAATTACCTAAGTGTTTTAGTATGAGCCAATATTTAAGGTATTAAATAAAACAATTTTTATTTACTTTTTTATACAATACAGAAATTTACATAAATTACAATCTATTTATTCTTGATGTAAAAAGCGCACTTTTTTATTTCAATGGCTATTTACCACCTCATAAATTATTTCAGTGATCGAAATTTAAAATCTCCAATTGTTAAATCGGGATTTACACAGATTAGCAATTCTCCGCAGACAATGTGCAGCGATATTACGTAACGCGACAAACATAAATTATCATTTATCTATACGAAAAGTTCATGTCATTGTCAATCACAGAATTAAAATGCACACAGCACGCACACGGCGGACGCGTACACGCGCGGACATTGCTACGCACGCGATCGCATGTATTATGAATATCGTGAACACTAGTTTGCTCTATTGCACGTGAACTTTCGTATAGTGGTACATATATCGACGGTGAAATGCTCCGACGGGAAGAAAGCGTAGCAGGAAACCAATGACATGTTGTTACGTTGCTCGACTTGACTGGTAAGACAACATAAGTGATCCTGAATATATTCGCGGTTGCAAGGTTGATACTGCACGATCAAGAGCCGCATAATTATTTGTATTAAATAAGCGATATTTTTATTACTAATATTTAAATTGTTTTAAATATTTAAATTGTTAATTATTGTTTTTTTTCTGATATGTTTTTTTTTTTTTTGTTTGATGATGATCTTTATCTAATGATGATATGTAACGTGCAACAATGTTTCAAGCAGCTTATTTCAGTCATTTTGTAATTGGATTGCGATAATCGTTAAAATTAAAGATCGTGAATTTATGATAAAAACCTGTTATTACGCAACAAAAAAATTCACTGATGTTGCAATGAGGGCATGATGTTTAACTCGAGGTCGTCGCATTGATTAATTTTTGAAAGAACATTTATTATTTGTTTATGCAAATATTTCCTTTTTTTCGGTATCACATTACTTTTAAGGTATGCAGTAAGTTGTTGCACGTTTTTTGAATATTGCAATTAGTCATGTAAAATAATTATTTTTATTTATGAAAATTCAATATAAAATTTATGTAAATTTTGACTGCTCTATATAACACCGGTTCTAACCTTGTAATTAAATTATTCTAACCTTGTAATTAAATTATTCTGCATACTTTCTTGATCAAAAATGATTCCTACGCGTATAGATAAAATAAAGACGAATTAACTCGTTTTACCCATAGAAAGTGCAAATGATTTAATTTATTTCTAACTTTTAATTTTCTTTGTTCCTAGTGAACAAAGCAATGTACGAATGTGTAATTTTTAAATTTTATGCGAGGAATTAATTTGTGCGTGGAGTTAATTCGTCTGCGCCGGTTAATAGATTAATACATTTATTCTTTTCATTACAAAGCCTATTATAAGCTCTTAGATTACGATAGTCTTACAGATTTCTCAGTAGAAATCTTTCCCAGATTTTCCACATACTTAACTGTTTATGTTGCGCAAGCTCTTTCGATAGTGTCTATTGTGCCGCTCAATTTTAATGTTTTATTAATTATCTTTTACATATTAATGTCTTTCAATAGAACGCACGATGTCATCGTCCTTGTACACTTTATGAAATTGAAATGTACGTTGCAGTATTGCATATAGTCGACCGTCATCAATTTTGCAAATACGCTGCATACGTTGCGACAATTCCTCTGGAATCAAAAAACTTTCACGTGATTTATTACCGATCATATTTCTTATCGCGCAATATCATTCGCGAGATTTATGAGACACTTAGAGGAAGCCGCATTTATTTTTGCGCTGTAATTGGACATTAACGAACGGAAAAGTGGATGCTAAAGAAACATTTATTAAAAATGACCGGAAACTTCAATATTACAATTAAGGAAATACACCGTTTCAGATAATTACCGTTGTCGCGCGCGCAAAAGAAATGATCGGTACGTCAATTTTGTTTTCGTGACAACGCGATTGCCAAATTATAGAGTGGCGATCTTTCGATCGCGGGGACAGTTAGTAGAAATGCTAGCAATAGTTCACACGTTTCTCATCACAAAGGAAAAATATAGCAAATGGCGCGGTAGTATCGTTAAAAAAAACTGCTAATGTTGATTATTACAAATAATGAAATGGCGAGAGATCGCAAGTCGAGGAACAGATTTGACGCAGTAACCACAATAACACAACATGAAAATAATGCGATCTAATCTCGATGGTATATAATTTCCAAGAATAAAGCTAAAACTTTGTTCTTCTAAATATTTCAATTAAATGAGGTTAACCAATTTTCCATCATTGTGAGTGATCGGTTGATCATTTGGAATGGAATCTGACAGTTATCATAATTTGCACGTTTCAACGGATGCAAGCAATGCCAAGTAATAGTTCCTGGCAGAGGAAAAAACTGATGGAGAAATTGGTTGCACGACAAAGTACATTCACATACATTCGCCGTTTTATTCAGTCTTATTCGAAATTTATTTAACAGCAGTGACAACCTCGACAGTGGCAACATATCAAGTAATAATAATTAAGTCGATTTTGCGAGGCCTTATGAGATAAATAAATTTCCATTAAATTTTAAAAGAATATTTTGGGAATAAGTAGAGAACTTGCAAAGTTGTAAATTTCTTAGACTGTTATTCAAATCATTTGGACAAACATAAGTTTTATTATCAAATTTATTTTAATTTTTATCACTTGTTATTTTGTCTCTTTAGTATTATTTAATGTAATCACATCTTATACTAATTAATCACGCAACTAAAATAGACATGTCCAAGAAATAGACATTAATTATATATCTAGATGCTTCAGTGCACATAAGTAAATAATGTATATCATCTTTAGCGTATATCTGAATTAACTTGTAAGCATGCGGGTGCTTGGTCGATAGTACATTTTTCTTTTGCTCTCGTTGACTTGCTGACCGTGAGTCATTCATGCGTTACTTAGTAACTGATTATTATGATAGTACAAAGCGCAAAAGCCACACGAGTTCTTTCCGCTTTTCTCTCTCGAAAAGATCTATATAACTAACAGTG